GGGGCACGGGCTGGGTCCCCTTCAGAAACCTGCGGCCGACCCTTCGCTGGGCGGGAAAACGGTGGCACATGCTCAAGAATCTGACTGGCCCGCTTGGCAAGATCGTCGTTCCAGTCGGGGGGTCAGGGTCGCCTGCAATCGAGGCCCCCGGCGCCGTAGGGGGCTCAGAATCGAAAACAACAGGGACCCCCAGGAAGCGCGGCGGCTCCGCAGGGGGGTCGAACAAGGAGACGGAAGAGGCCCCCAACGGATTAGTAGGGGGTTTGGGATCAGCGGCGAAAGAGACCCCCCGCAAGCGCCCCGGCTCAGCAGGGGGTACAAAAGCGGAGGCAAAAGCAACCCCCCGAAAGCGAGCCGGCTCAGCAGGGGGTTCGAAACCAGAGGCGAAAGGAACCCCCGGGAAGAGGCCTTGCGGACCAGCAACAGAAGCCGGGCCTGAAAGGGTTGCGAAAGCGGGCAAGCCTGCGGCGGACGCCTCGGCAGCCAGAACAAAACCCACTCCTAAGCCGGGCATGTCCGAGAAAGGCGCTGAGACACTGACAGAACGGAGCCCCCCGAGAGTGCGGCCGCCTCCCAAGGTCCGAACCCCTCCAGAAGTGAAGAAACCCCCGGAAAAGCAGGAATCTCCAAAAGTGCGGATACTTCATGAGGTGCAGGACTCCTCTAAACCGCGGCTGCAACCGGAGACGCTGTCCCTGCCCAAAGTGCACATCCCTGAGAAAGTGCAAACCCCCGAAGAAGCGCGAACGCCTCCAAAGGTGCAGAACTCTCCGAGACCGCGCCACCTCTACAAAGTGGGAGAAAGGCCTCCAGAAGACGCGGGCCCCCCTGAGGGGGGGCAAACTGAGGAGCGGCCAAGGGGAGTGCCCGGGAGAAAGTGCTTCGACTGCGGGACAGAGAAGACCACTGCGTGGCGACGGGGCCCCTTGGGCGATAACACGCTGTGCCAGACGTGCGGGGTGCGTTACTGGCTGATGAAACTGAGGGAGAAAAGGTTGGGGAGGTCGGAGACGTTTGAACGGGAGCGGATCGAGGCGGTGCAGAATCCGGGGCCTGAGGGGGCGACAGGTGGCAGCGGGCTAGGGATGACAGGTGGCGGCGCCCCAGAGGTGACAGCTGACGGCGGGCCAGAGAAGAGCTGTATGCAGTGTGGGAAGTGGAGGAGAACCAAATTGAGTCAATGGCGGACGGGGCCGCCAGGGAAAGAGACGCTGTGCAACGAGTGCGGGCTGCAATTTCGCAGGCTGGGCCCCGATTGGGTGCCAGGTGGCGCCCTTCTATTGGCCGAAAGCACCGCGCCAGTACAAGCTGGTGCGGGCAGGTACTTAGCCAAGCGGGGAGAGCCGACGAAGGGGTTACGCAGCACGAGTGCGGGGCCGATCGGACAAAAGGGGGGTACAAAAACAGGCGTTGAGGAGGGGTGGTGGAGAAAACCCGGGTTGGGCAGTGGCAGCTTCTTTGACAAAAAAATAGACCGGTCGGCGCTGGAAGGAAAGGGCACGGAGAAGCTGACGAGTTCGGCAAATGGGGATCCATTCCGCCTCCAAAGGCCGCCAGCCTCTTTTGCGGGCCCCCCTGGAAAGCCGAGGCAAGGCCCCCCCGCGGAGAAGAAGCGGGCGGCACGAGACTTGGAGTCGTCGAGTTTGTCGGAGTCTTCGAAGCGGATGCGGATCCAGGGCAACTCGGTGAGGAGTGCTAGTGCGAGGATCATCGGACAGGCCCTCAGAAACGTCCGGATACGGCCAGACGCTTCCGGCGCGTCCGAGAAAGCTGTGTCCGGAAATGCCGCGTCCGAAAAGGCTGTGTCCGTAAATGCCGCGTCCGAAAGCAAGGAGAGGAACGTCGAGAGAGAACGAACGGCGGCCGGAGATGAGGGGGCGCAAGCGAAAGGAATTTGGACGCAGCCCGACGCTTCTGCTGCGGCCGAGTGCGACGTGTCCGAAAGCATGGCGCCTGAGAAGAACGTTGAGACGGAGAGCGAAGGGGCCGAACAGAAAGAGGCGAAAGCAGAGCGAGAGAGGAAACAGCGGGCAGAGGCGCGGAGAAAGAAACGGGAAAGGGTCTGGCGGCTGAAAGCACAGCTGGCGTGTTCGATTGGCGAACCGAAGGGGCAAAAGGTTGCGAGGCTGAAAGCACAGCTGGCATGCTCAGTAGGCGAGCCTATCGGGAAGAGAAAAAGGCTTACGCGGCAAGAGGCGAGGAGAGAGGATGGCGAGGTGGGGGTGAAAAGCGGGGCGGCGAAAGGGGGGCCGACGAGCGGAAAGCGAATCGATGTAGAAAAGGGAGGGCTTACGAGAAATCGGGGTGCTTCAGATACGGGGGGTGTAGATAGAGGGCTTAGCAGCGCCGCTAAGAAACTAGCGGTGTACGAAAAGCTGAAGCGAGTGGTGGGGGGTTCGGACAAGGTGACGCGTCCGAAAGGACGTCCGAAGAGAGGGCGTCCGAAGAAGGGCGCGGCGCAGGAATCACCGAGGCGGAATCCGAAGAGGGGGAGAAAGAGCGACGAGGAAGAGAGCAGCGAAGAAAGCGACCCGTTACGGGGTGGAATTAATGAAGGAAAAGAAAGTGCGGGCGTAAGGGAGAAGGAAAAACAGGGAGTGTCAAAGCCACCGAAGCAGAAAGGGCCGGGACGGCCGGTGTTTTGGGGGGTCAATTTGGACGAGTTGATCGTTGAAGAGGAGTTTGAGCTGCCGGAGAAGGTCCGGGCGCGGGCGGAGAGGGAACGCAGGGAGGTTAGGCGACGGTTAAGCGAGGTTAGCGGTGCAGGTGGCGAGGCGGGGAGCAGCGGGAGGGATCCCTCGGGAATAGAAGAGGTGCTTATTCACAGTGTGAAAGTGCCGGGGAAGACAAGCCGTGGGGAGAGTGTTGTCGAGAGCAAGAAAGCTGGAGCGAGGAGCGATGCGGCGGGGCTCGAGACGGGAAGAGCGCGGTGTTTTGCGGGAGTTTTAACGGAGATAGGCGCGGGGGAAACTCCGCTCCTCGGGCAGGAAGGAGCGGACGATTCGGGGGGTAGTCGGGCCAGTGAAACGATTCCCCTAGGAAGCGCGCACAAAGTGGCAAGCAGCGGGGGGGGTGCTGGGACCAGCGGTCGGACCCCCCCGGAAATCGAACAGCCACCACGGCCGGATGAGTTCGATCTAACGGAAGAGCTCGTCTCCTGTCTAGACAAGTCCGAGGCCTTGTCCGCAGCGGAAGAGCTTCTTAGTAGGTGGGAAGAGGTGTCGCTGGACGAGGTACGGGGCCTCTTCTTGATGGTCAATCTTTGGAGTCCGGACGAGGAGTCGCTGAAAGATCCCGTGGGGTGGTATCGGGACAAGATCGAGGCGCTCGCGTTCCGGGAACAACGGTTTGTGGAGGTTGGGAGTGGGGGGAATGCGGGGGTGTTTAGAAAGTGGGCGGTGAAAGATGACGACAGAGATGCAACAACGGAGGGAGAAAGGAGGCTTGGATTTTCGGAAAGACTGGAAGCGGTGAGTGCGGGGTCACCATCACTAAAAGATTTCTTCACGTCTTAGCACGTAAACCCTCGGTTGATAGCAGACTTTACACCCTCGTCGAAGCGCGCCAGCCACAGAGGGGAAAATGCTCGGTTCGCCTTCGCTTGTCCGCTTTGGAATTGCCATGCGGCTACATCGTTTTGGGTATTGGATCCCCGAAGGTGACTCCTTCTCTGACCAGCAAAGCCCATCCATTCAATTTCTCGATAATCTCGTCGGTTGCTTGACAGCAGGAAGGATAAGAGGAATGGGAAGGAAAAGGCGCATGTGCAGGACGTTTTCTAATAGGACCTGTGCTCAGCTTGTGTTGAGGCATCTCAATCTCAACTTCTCAAGAGCTCTTCACACCTGTATCCTCCCTCAGGCGAAGGACGGGCCACTGGGCACTGCTCCTCTCGAAGCTGGCGTCAACTATGCCGACGTCAGCACCGCCGCTCCTCAGGCGCGAAGCCGTGAGCCTCTCGGGACGTTCCCCGTCAGTGGAACATTCGATGCGGAAGCTGCCAACGTCCCCGCTCCGACGTCAGCCAGTCTGGCAAATCCAACGTCGAAGACGGCTGAGATTTCGAGCGTTCCGGGCTCTAGAGGCGAAGCAGTGCGAAGGGACTTACTTTCTTCGGACGTCCTGCCTGGGCCTGGGGCGTCCGTTGCTCGGACGCTGTCCGAAGGTATGGCGGACGACCGTGGTGGGGGGCTGGAGTCGAGCGACGGGGTGAATCCGAAGAAGGGCCTCAATAAGGACGACGAACGAGAACCAATCGGCGGGCCTGTCCCAGACAACGGGCTACGAGGGAACGATACGATCTCGAGTAAGGAACTGAGTCCGAACGGAAGGCTAGACCTGACTGGGGGGTTACATTTGGGCCAGGGCCTGGCTGCGGGCGGAACGCTGGACTCGGAGTGGGGGGTTGTTTTGGATAAGGCGATGGGTGTGGAGAAAGAGTTGAATGCGAACGGGGGGCTGGGTTCACATGGAGGGCTGCGATCGGACGGGGATCCAAATAAGGACGAGGTTCTGAGGTCGGCCAAAGGGCCAGTTTCGGACGGGGCACTGAAGGGGCCAAGTTCGGACGCGGGTTTGGACTTGAACGGGGGACCGAGGGCAGACGAGAGGGACCAGGGGCTGGAAACGGACGTTGTTCGGACGCTGGACGGGGGCCTGGATATGGACGAGGGGCTGGATTCGGACGCTGGGTTACGTGCGGACGCGGGACCGAATCTGGGCGGGGAGCCGAATAAGGAGGAAGCGTCGAATGCAGACCGGAGGCTCTTTTCGCACGTGAAGGTGGCTGTGTCCGTGGGGCTTCATTCGGACAGAGGCCTGCCTGCGGACGACGGCCTGACTCAGAAAGACGTCCGAAAGTCGGTCGAGGCGCTCCACTTGGGTGAGAGGAAGGATCCAAACGACGGGCACACTGCGAACAAGGCTGCTCAGCGATCAAACGGCAGAGAGGGGATGATGCGTGTTGAGAAGAAGCGTTTGGTCGAAGACTCGGAGAGATCCGGCGGGATGGGGCTGGAGGGATCGGGGGGAGGCGTGACTGGAAACGCTTTGGAAACGCAGCAGGCAAGTCGGTGGTGACAACAGTCTGATTTGCGTTGTTAGCGCCTCCTATTTCATTGGTTCATTTCTTTTTTTGTGAGATTCCTCGAATTCTGAACCATTTGCTGGCTCTGACCACGCATGCTATGGGTTGTAATTCATGGATTCGATAACAAATATGTTGAAAAAGTCCTTTTTGGTGGAGGGAACAGCCACACTTTTCGAAAATGTGGAGCGAAGAGCCACTAATGGGGCTGTTGCGATGCGTCTCTTCTAGACTTCTCAGATGATCGACATCGGCTCGAGTAGGCTTCTAGGCTTTTCAGGTGAACGACTTGGGGATTTATTCGAGCTGAATTTGGGGCACCGAAGGTAAAGCTCTTGCTGAATTTTTTTGCAAGCTATATCCAGGAGCAAAGACCCTGCTGCCAACCCTGGGTCTTTTCTCACAAGATAGCAATTTTGGAGAGATAGCAATGGTTGTCAAAGAAGGGTTGCGAAGAGACTACTGTCACCTGTCAGCACCTTGTATCCATTATGGTAGGGTAAGACTTGTATTGGCGTAAAGAAGATGGGCTTACCCCCCGACCTAAGCTGCTCTCTGGAAAAAGAGAGCATTGCATATTGCATATTTGCCTTACGATTGCTTCCGTCTGTTTCCTTCTTCGAACTCACACCAACGACCGCTCTAATGCTCTTATCGGACCGCTCTGATGCTCCCTCATTCTTCTGTTCACAGGGCCTGCGGATACCTCCCCCCCGAGGGAACCCGCCTGCCGCCGCCGCGCCCGTTTGGTCCGAGCACAGAACCCCCGACGGTCGCCCGTACTACTTCAACCGTGCGGTCCAAGTCTGCATATGGGAAAAGCCGTTGGAGCTGATGACCCCCCAAGAGCTGCATTCCCTCAACGTTTGGAAGGAGCTCATCACCCCCGACGGGCGCGTTTATTACTCCAACAGACTCACGATGGCGTCGAGTTGGACTGTGCCGGAGGATCTTCGCGCAGCGGGGGGGGGCTGGGCTGCTGGATCTAAGGGGGGGGCTGCCTTCGCTGGTGAGGATTCTTTAGAATTGACTCTTCAACATAAGGATAATGAGCTGTAGGATAAGCTCCTTAGCCACTGAGTCTTTTATCCCCAACGTTACGTGCTCCACAACCGTAAGCACCGTGAACCGCCAAACCAATTCCATCGGCCCCAGGCTGGTGACTTCACCGTCAACGCTCCCGATCTCTAGACTGAATCTTCATGCTCTATGGTTGGGGTCTGGAGTCAGCAGGTGGGTTTTAGCGCAAAGATGTTGAAAATTCAGCCGCTATCGATTGAGATTCTCAAAATACAGCAAGATTCGAGACGGGGGCCTTTGAAAAGCAATCGCCATGCCAGAGAAGCGAGGACGAGAGGGAAACACTTCAACACTGTGGTTTGAAGAACCGCAGTGCTCCGCTCCTGTCGCTGAGTTGATCGTTGATCCCTTGTCGGATCCCGTTCCTTTTTGCGAAAGAGTCGTTGGCTGCTTCGTCAGTTTCTTGCAAAAGAAAAGTTTGAGCCAATCCATTGTAGTGAATACTTTGGTGGACGAATTTTCTGATGCTATAAGACAGTGTTCGGCTTAGGTCAAATCTACGGTTTCCGGCCATGCTGGTCAAGTAGGAAACTGACTTGCCACCCTTGTCATCAGACCCCTTCTGCGGTCGATCCTTTTGCAGTGTTTCTCTCGTCAAGTTGTAGAAAGTATCATCTCTTGGTCATGACACACGAAATCTTGCTGATTTTACGGCCTCGCTTGTTGAATTGTCTTGTTATTCTTACTCGAGAGCGCTTCGGTGTGTTCAAAGGTCAGGATCTCTCAGACCCTAATGCCTTGAAACCATTCTGCATTGCTTCCAGGTCCTATTGCTTCCCGGGCGTTTCCAGACGCCCAGCGAGCGGACTGGGACAGCCTGTTCCCCTGCATTGCGAACGGCTTCCCAACGGTTCCAGCGACTGAGCGGGCCACTCCGGACGTGCTGCGGACGCCTTTGGACGCACAACGAACGGTTCTGAGCGGCCGTCGGACGTTCTCGGACACGCGGCAAGCAGAACTGGACAGCCTGTTCCCCTGCTCTGCGAACGGCTTCCGAACAGTACTAACAACCCAGCCGGCGATTTCGGGCGGACTTGGGAGCGCTCCCGACGCACTGTGGACACTTTCGGAAGCACAACGAACGGATCTAAGCGGCCGCCGGACGCTTTCGGACACCATGCAGAGGCTGTCGGACGCTGTCGCCGGGCGCAGCTCTGCAGAGCGCCCCTTGGCAGATGGTGCAATAAGGTCGAACCAGGTGTTAGCAGGGGACGGATTTACAGGGTCTCCCGACCCACTGCGGACGCTTTCGGACGCACAGCAAACGGATCTAAGCGGCCGCCGGACGCTTTCGGACACCATGCGGAGGCTTTCGGACGCCATTGCAGGGTGCAGCGCTACAGAACCCCCTTTGCAGAATGGTGCGATAGGGCCGAAACGGACGTCAGCAGGTGCGAGAGGGTTGGGGGGCGGTGAAGAGGATGAAACGCACTGGTTAGCGGACCTGATCGTGGAGTCTCACGAACACAAGTGCGGCGCCGAGCAGGTTGGACCTCCACTTCAGGGGCCTAACCCGGCGCCCCAATTATTCCCGAACACACCCGGCTTAGTGAGCCCCCCAACCCAGAAAGCGTCGGCCAAAGTCACCCCTGTCCAGCCGCTGACCTCCCCAATCCCGCCACCCACGCCTAGTTACCCCCTCGCTCCTTCGAGCATTAGTGCCTGGTTAGCCAAACCCTCAGAAAACCCTCAAGACGGAGGGAAACGTCAAATTGTGTGCGGAGCAGGGGAGATGTTGGACGCTCGGACGAGTGCGGCAAAAAGTGGAGAAAAGCAATCTCCAAGTGTGAATACACGCCGGCCAGCGCCAGGTGTCCACCTACAGATGGCGCCAGGTGGCGTGCAGCGGCTGGTGCCAGGTGGCGCCGGGACGGTGACTGAGGTGCCACTTGGTGGCGCGTGGACTAACGGAACGGAAGGGAACGGATTTGAGGCTGGGGGCAGGTCTGAGCAAGTACCCGGTGGCACGCTTCCGGGGCGGGAGAATGGCGCGCACACAGGGGTGGAGACGGCGGGTCAACTAGGAGAGCTCGCGGGCGGTCCGCTGGGAGAATGCGGCGAACGGAATGGTAGTCGCAAAGGGTTGACCAACGACCGCAGCGCAGAGGTGAGGCTCCCCAAAATCCCGAGACGTTTTTAATGCAGTTGTTTCGATGTCGTTGGATGGCTTTGGGGATCATAGTGTAGCCGTCAAATTCCTCTTCAATTGAGAGTAGGGAAGAATGCTCTGCTTGGTACATGTTTTTTGATCGCGCCGGAAAGTCGTCCAGCCTCTCCTGATACAATCAAAGTGCTGAACGTGCTACTAGAAAAGACAATTTCAATGCATTAGGAGCAAATTGAGGGACCTTTTCTGACGAAGCGTTCTTACGAATCCCCTGATCAGGTGTGCACAAGCCATCGGTTTAAAAAGTCAACAAAGCTTTCCTGATGTCACGCTTACACACTAATAGATGCTTGTCCCTGCCCCGAAAAAGTACAGACAGTCATGGTCATATCTTAACGTTCTTCCGTGGATCTGCAGGGTACGCAACCCGGCAACCCTGCGACGAGTCACTTCGTTCCTGGCAGAGACGGCCACCCCGGTCTTTGGCACACCATCCTTCCCGGTGGGGTTCTCATCTCCCAGTTCGGGACCCCCCCGGATGTAAACCAGGGGTCCATGCTCCCCCCTGCTACGAGTCCTGCACTGACACTGCAAAACGCCCCTGTTTCGAACCGGGGGGGTAATGCGGCCGGGTCAGAGACAACCAGAGTCGCCCCGCCGCCGATCTGGTTTCGCCGACGTGTTTCCGACAACCTTACGGTGTTCAGTCAGCCCCCCGCTTCCGTCCAGGGGGGCATGTCCCCCCGTCCCGCCACCATCTCAATGAACCCTTTGTCAGCCCCACCTTACGCTGCAGGGGGGTCGTCAAATCTTTGTGCTTCTCAAGCAATGGCCGCTGAGCTCACCCATGGTTTGTCTCAGGGGGTGGCTCCAAACCCCGGGCCGGGGCAAATGCAGCCCCCCACAACGGTTTGGGGTGTTCCACGGCTGCCAATAAACCCCCGGGGGTTAGGAGCTATACCGATTTCCGCTCACCCGAGAGCCTCTGGCGCGGCCATCATCGCCCTTCCAGCTCCGGGGAAACCTACCGAGGGGATCCCTTCACAAAGGGCAGCTGGGAAACGGGGCCGGCCCCTAGGGTCGAAGAACAAATCGAAGTGCCGTCAAGTGGCGATGTTGTCTTGGGAGGAGTTGCAGCAGATGAAGGCAGGGGGCAAAGAGTCGGTGTTTCTCGCTCTTGCCGCGTACGAAAAGCCGGCTCCGTTGGAAGCCCCCGATTCCGCTGCACTTTCGTCGCTGCCAGAGATTCCCCTTGACATGGTCGCGCCGGAAGATTCAGCCAGGCAGCTCGGGCCAGCAAACACGCCGAAAAACACGCCGGAAATTGTGCCCAGCAAAAGCCCAGACTTCGCATCGGAGCGAGAGGGGGAGCCGGGGCCAGAAAGCACGCCGGATATCCCGCCCAGTAAAAGCCCGGTATTTGAACTGGGGCGAGAGGGGGAGCCAGGGGAAGGAAACAGTCCAGAGCTTATGCCCCGCGAAAGCCCGGTAACCGAAACGGGGCGAGAGGAGGGAGAAGCATCAGCGGACGAGGTCGGCCATCCAAATCGTGCGCAGTGCGCTCCGAACCGGGCTGAGACCGGTTCCCACCTGGCTGCGAATCCGGACGAGTCTCCCGCTGAGAAGAGTCCTAACGATCTGGATGAGTGCGAGGGGGCGGAAAGAGTGCTGGACAAGTTCGGACGTCTAAACGGTGCGGAGAGCGGTCCGAACCGGGCTGAAACCGGTCCCCACCCTGCGGCGAGTCCCTACGAGTCACCCGCTGGGAAGAGTCCAAACGGTTTGGACTGGTTTTACTCGCTACTCGGCCCTTCGGACCAATCCCCGCGTCCGCAAGCTGCGGTCGGTGGAAGTCCGGCAGTGGCCGCACGTCCGGAAGAACGGCCGGAAACCGAACGGCCGACGGCCCGGGAGTGCTCCGCTTGCCGCGTGTCCGAGAGTCCTCAGTGGAGGCGTGGCCCCACGGGGCCCCAAAGTCTGTGCAACCGTTGCGGGGTTTTTTGGTACAAGCACAGGGACGGGTGGGGGGATTTCCTGGAGCAATTCAGCCCCCCCTCAGATGGAGCGAACGGCCTGCCTTGCGGCAATGAAGAAAGTGCCCGGTTGGATGTCCCGGTCGCTTTTGAAGAGTGCCCGGAAGCCGTCGAAATCGCCCACCAGGCCGAGGCAGCGGCGGCGGGAAGCTTAGAGGGTTCGGAATCGCCGGACGGTCCGGTGTCGGCGGGAGTTCGGACGGTCGGACGCGCCACTTTCAGGGAGGTGACGAGCGAGGACGAGGTGGCTGCGGCGCTGGAGAAGAGCCTGCGGGCGGCTGCCACATGGCAGCGGATGGCGCACTCGCTCGCGCGGACCACCGGCCTGCGCTCGAGGCTGGAGGAGTTGGGAAAGGGGGGTGCAAATGGCGGGATTCCAGGGGGGGTGGACGGTGCGGGAAACGGAAGCGTGCTGGAGGCGTCGATAGAGGACGGGGGTAGCAACTATGCGAGAGCAACGCGATCCAGAAGAAGCCGCGAAAGTATGGAGAAGGCTCTATCGGGGGCTGCTGAGGGCCTGGGATCCGGGGGGGGTGCTGCGGCACATGAGGACACGGTGGAGAGGGATGCAGGTGGACAACTTGCAGGGGGTGCCGAATGCCTGGAAAATGGGGGGGGTGCTGCGAAGCAAACGGGGGAAGGGACTGCGGGCGTGCAACTTGCGGGGGCCGGCCGGAGGTACGGACCGGAGGAAATCTGGTGCGGGAGTTACCGGGGGCGATGGGGACCGGATGGGGCGTTTGTTTGGACGGACAGCAAGAGTGAGGGCCCTTGTTCAGCCCTCGCTTTTTTAGGACGACCGTTTGGTTCGAGGGAATTCGTATACCTTTTCTTTTCGGGGCGTTGTTTCAAGCGACAACAAGAGCGGGCGAAATACTCTAGCTTTTATAGTGATGCTGTCATGGACACAACCCGACGTGCTCACATGACATTGGAGACAAGGGTTGCTAGCCTAGACATACCACATTTCCTGGTCAGTGAAGTAAGGAGCGGTGCCCTTGAGGTCAATCTGCGCAATCACCCTGTTCACATCCATGCTTGTCTTTGCTTTCCAGGTCGCCGCGTCCGGTTCCGTTCCGGTGGCCTGGCCCAGCTGGAGTCCGGAACGCCCGTCAAACCAAAGGGGAAGAAGCGCGGACGCAAACCCGGGGCGCCAGAGTCCGCTTCAGGTGGGCTGGCCCACGCGGAATCCGGAACGCCCGTCACACCAACAGGGAAGAAGCGCGGACCCAAGCCCCGGGTGGCCGGGCCGTCCGACTCGGACGCCGACTTCCAAGCCAGGCGGGAACGGGAAAGGAAGCTGTGGGAAAAGCGGATGGACGGGTGTTTCGACCGCATTCACGAAATCTTCTCGCGGGCGAAGCCGATCCTTGCTGCGCTGTCCGAAAGATTCCCGCCTGGGGAAGGCGACCGTCCGGTGTCCGCATCTCCTCCGGGCGATCCCAAGGTGTCGCCGGGATTCGACACTTTCGCGCTGAGGGGGTTGACGGACTGGGCAGACGAGGAGTGGGAGCTGACCCCCCTGCCGAACGGGGATCCCTCGCACATCGGCATGGAAAGAACGGGCCGACACAAGTTGCAGGAAACGGGGGGGAAGGAAGCAAGCATCACCGGGGCTGGGGACCGGAGACTGAGTCGAAGCGGCCGAGGCGAGCGGAGGATGAAGCATCTCAAAGTGAAGCTCAGCAGGCAGGTTTTCGTAGACAGGACTCTCACTTACGTCAAGGCAGTTCCGTTGGCGGGTTAAAACGTCTACAATAGCCGCTGGTATGTACGTGCTCGTGTCGATGCGAGGCACGGGCTGGTATGCGGTCAGCCCGTGGCTGTGTTTTCTCTTTGATCGTCGTTTCTGTGCGGGGCCCAAGGCGCAAAAGCATAGCATCTCGGCCTGTAAGAGGATTGCGAAGGTAATTATGCTGCAATTTGCAGTGCCTGCCCCTTGCGAGGCCTGCGCCACCGAGCTCGAATTTATGGCACATTTGCACAACGCCACGTGCAGTCTACTATGGAAGGCATTGCATCAGTGACAGAGTTCAAGAACCGCCAACTGTCCAAGTTCCGAATCTGCCGCACAAGCATACTATCCACTGTCAGTGGACTTTAGTTCATGCTTCAATCGCGTGCATGATTCGGTCGCACTTTTATCCCAGAACTCGAGTCGAGCTCCAAATGATCATCCAAGTGTCATTGCATGCACGTACGAGCCCTAGCTCGAATATATGGCGCGACCAGCTCCGCGGCGTTACGGAACGAACTTATATTCAATCGATAAACGTGGCGGCAACATGGTGCGTCGGAATTTATGCAGTCATATAATTCGTCCGGTATACATGCGCATGCAACCTCAGTGGCGTACTTCATGTTGCAATCAAGAGCTCATCACCGAGACAACTTGAACGATCCGATCGGCGCCTAGCAACCATAAGCAATCATGGCTGGCACCGCGGCCAATCTCAATAACAGGTGACGTATACATGCGACTAGGCTCCTCTTCAGGAACAAAACACACAACGGTAATTGCAGATCAACAGACCTACTCAACGCAAATGAGTGACGTCCTTATGGCCACACCGTCTGTACAAGCTCGCAAATCAACACAACTAAGCTCTTACCTCGCCCAAGTCAACAACCAAAATGTGCAGGATCTACGAGCACAGCCCTGGCGGGCAATTGCACCGCCTTATTCAATGGGCCTTCGCCAATGCGGCAAACCCGGCCGCGGAGCTGCATGTTCAACCCCGCTAATCATATCCGCTCAGATCTCTATCAGTATTTTACAACCTTTACGGACGCTGCCTCCTAAACCTCTCTCCCGTTCAACCACGACAAAGGACCCCGACTAACGAGCTCAGGATAGGTAGACGCTACTAAGTATAGGTGCAACACAACCAAGTCAATTAGCCGCGGACCGAATGCCTATGCGCGTCACCCATTGCCCCAATCTCGCCCAACCAGATTGCGCCTATACTTTCAGCTATCGACTCCCACATCAATCTCCGCAACAGCAATATGCCAGCGGTTTATGCCGACAACGCAAAACAGATTTTGCTGAACTGAGCACCCCCCTTCCGTTTGCGCTTCCGCTCCCCTTAATGCGCGTTACATCCGCCACTCGGTCACTCCTTTACACCTTTACTACCCTACATTCCTCCGCCGACCAATGAGCCGACGAGACCCGCAAGCTTTGCATGCAATAACATGCTACTCCCCGTAACGCCTCCACTTTCGAAAGTTGGTTCCTTCGCTAACCGCCATCCCGATCGCAAACTGGATCCGGTCACTGACGCCCACGTAGTACAGCCGGTAGCTGCCGTCATCCAAAGCGACCACGTGGGGCGTTCCGACGTTCTTGCTGTCCCAGGCGTCCTGCGAAAAAAACATTCTTTGAGCTCGAGCGGAACAACGGAATGGATGATCGAAGGTGGACGAAAAGGATGCGTGCTACCGCCCAAAGCGACCATGTGGGGGCGTTCTGACGTTCTTCTTTACCAAAAGTCCTTCGGAAAGCAAAACTAATCTTGAATAATATTCCAGTCCTTTTCTGGTTGCATTCGTGTGGTTTGAAGAGTGCCCGCCTGCGAGGCACCTTCGACTGGACCATAATGCATGACGACTGAGAATCAGCGGAGCACAACTCAAGAATGAACGCTACATTTAGAAACGCGATGGATGATCTCCTCGCTTTCACGTTAAAGTGCCCACAATCTGCCTTCAATGACAGCCTCGCAAATGCACGAAATACCACAGACGAAGAGCCTTCATGAGCTGTCTTCATCAAACTCGACGCCCTCTCTCTCGATATTCAACCTTCAGTACCTGGCCTTAGACCGCTAATCCAGCCAACTTTGTTGAAACTAAAATCCAATGTTGCAGTGGTCGATGAGGTTTTGGCTTCAAGGGGGGCGCAAATTATGATCTGACAATGGAGTAGCACTTGCTTAAAGAATGAAGTCATAAATGGATGCAATCTCTAAACAATCTATTATGACCCTCACTTATATTTTCTGAAATAATATAAAACATTAATGTAAATCTTTACCGTACCTCGCCTGTCCGCGGCCGTAGGATTGGGCCGCCGGGATCGGGTCCGCATTGCCGGTCCTTCTCCCACGTCAGTCCGTCGTCCGACCACGCGAGCCCGATCGCATGCACCTGGTTCCGATCTACTGCCTCGTAAAACATGGCCAGCCTGCAGGCAAGGCGTAAAACTGTTGCAGCCGTTCGAATAAGCTTTAGTTGCTTCCACGTCATCAGCTTGACGGGAGACAGAGGCTGAAAAGAATCGCTTCTCTGGACGTCTCCGAGGACTTCAAAGCCTCCGGACGGAACGAAGCTGCACAAAAGCTCAGTTACTTCGTTCGTATGGCGGATGGCTAGACGGTCCATGGAAAGACTAGAATCCACCGAATGTTCCACCTTTAGTTGCGGTTATTAGTATAAGGCCACATAAAGAACCAGCAGAGTCAAAAGAAGAGCTCTCCTGGGGCGTAATTGCTACCTAAACTCCTGTTAAATGAGCATCTGATGAAAATACACGCTTCTCAGAACCAATAACATGATGCTCAATCACGTGGCTCTGCGCTTCTCGGAAGCACAGGACAAATGAAACAAGAGGAAGCTCCGAATGCTACTTTGACCACACACGAACAGAAACGAGCCAGGCTCTTGTGCCCAGTGCGAAACACAGGCCCTTCCTTGATCGAAAATCTGTTCCAAAAAGCACAAGCAAACAGGAACTACTCTTGCTAAGGTTCAGGTGGTCAGAATTCATGCTCACCTCCCGTCTATCCTGATGACGTGCCGCACCCCCACCCCTAGTTCGTCCCACGTGCCCTTCCCTCCCGGCCCCAAAACCTGCCCGCGCTTCTGCCACGTCACCCCATCTTCCGAGGTCGCCGCTGCGGCCCAGAAGATGCCCTTGGGGTTCAGAGAGTGATACGTCATCAGCCACGTGTCATCCGTTCCTTCTTGGGGGGGTACGACTTTCGGCCAGCCCACGTAGAGGGCATCCCACTCTCCGGGAACCCCCGTTGGGAGGATCGGTTGGGGTCGTCGTCGAAAGGTCAGACCGTCCTGCGCAGAGAAGCGGGACGCTTCTTTATGGTTGGCATAAACCGAAGGGACGCTTCTCGGCTTATCTGAAGGCCGTTGACGCTTTGATGTTTCAAATGGACTATGCCGTTTCGTGGCTTCTAAATACCGGGGCGGACGCTTTCACAGACCTATATGGATTGACGTAGAAGGGGGAGGGTTGCAGAAGAAATTAGAAGGGAAAGAGGAGCCAATACATTGAGAAACGCTCGCATATGCACAGAGGATGAGGACACGAGTCGAGGTGAAAGAGGAGCACTACGCTTTCTGTCGCCGTGGTTTGCAGAATCCGTAGGGCATACGCAAAGTAGTTTCCGCGATTGAGGACACTCTTTTTTGAAACACACGTTAGAATTACCGATGAACACTTCCAGCTCTGTCAGTTTTGGAAAGGTGAGTTCAGTCTTCCTCCTCTGGAAAGATGAATCAATCGGTGTCTTCAGTATTCCACTTGAAAGTCGAGAAAACGGAGGTAAAAAACTGACTTCGGTTCCGAGACAAGCCTTCTTAACAATCCATATTGACTCTTTGCCAAGATGCTATAAGCTGCCCCCTCAATCGCTTGGCAGCTTCCAAAGAGAACAAGGATTCAAGCTCTAGAAGAATTGCGCCAGCCCAACTTTGAAGCCGTAAAAGACATCCTTCATTTCGTCTTGGACCAAGATCTTTCAAACTTACCGGTGATGTCGCGAGCCCGACCTGCCAGTTTAACCCGGTAAACTCTCCCGGCATCATTTTCATCATCCCCTTCACTAACGTCTCCGCCCCCCGCCCCCAATGCGCCCCCGCCGTCGCCCCAAGAACCGCCCCTACCCCACTCCCAATCGGCGTTTTCTCCAGACCCCCCCCAAAATAGTACAACCAATGCTCCCCCCCAGGACGAATCAAAACGTCGGAACTCCCCACGACTACGGAGTCGAAAGCGGCGGGGTCCTCTTGCGGCCCCAGGACTGCGAAGTTCGGCAGGGGGCCTTGGACTTTTCGCCAGGTGACTCCGTCAGTGCTTTCAGCAACGCCGACCCATCCCATTGGGGGGGCCATCATTGCCTTGACGCCCTGGCCCCAAAAGTCTCCTCCCCTACCATAGTAGTACATGCGCCACGAGCCATCACTGCAAAAAGGGGAGTTAAAATGAGTACTCCGTGATGATGATTCATCAACCCGTTAAACCTTTGAGCTTGCAAAGGTTGTTTGGGTTCATAGATGGGGAACCTCCGGCTTGTGGAACTTGTTGCAAACACGATATATCGCCTCCGCCGATGCATTCTACTCAATAATAACAAGAATAGATTGCAAGAGTGCAGAACCGAGGCCCAAGTGCCTCCGCAATGCGTCTAGTGCAAATTGCCTTTCTAGAAGTGGTCACAAACACATTTGTATAGACGACTGCTAGCATATGTGATAGTGAGAATATGGACAGTCAACGGAGAAACGGCGGACAGGTCTTGGAGGTTCTGGCTTCACAACTGGAAACCAGTCTTCAGAGCACCCTTAGAGAATGGTTAGAATGGCTACATTGATGGCCACCAGGCATGTACCATGGGAAGAGGGGGCGTGAAGAAACTCGGAGTGGCAGCTAGACGGTAGGTCTTGACTCTACCCAATGACAGGCCGCTTGCTCCATTCCTTTCCAACCTTAATCATGGCAACTTGCATAGGCCTTTTTTCTTTGGCAATCTTTAGAATCCCTTGACACACCTCAGAACTCAATGAGTGGCCTGAAGAAAGTGTGAGCCGCCTTCTGCGAGACAGACAAAGAGTCCGCAAGTAGGAGCAACTTTCACAAAACGCTTGATACTGATAATTGGAATTCTGAAGTGTTTGCCAACTGAGGTGCCAATTGCTACAGGCACACCTGAGCAAGAGACCTCTGCAGGATTCTGAACACAGACTAATAGGCAACTCCAGGACGAGAAAACAAATCTCTGCCCCATATCTACTTACGTCAAGCGCACCACCGCAGGGCAGGCTGCTGCCTTAGCGTCCCACCAACCGCTGCCATCGCCTGACTTCTCCAGAACCCTTCCAAGAGTGTAGTCAGCAGACTTGCCACACCCTTGGTCTCTGCTAGCTGACCTCCCAAACCCTCTGCATGTCAACCTGCCTGACCTAGCACCGTACTGTTGGTCTGCTGGCCAGCTATGCAATCGCCTCGCGCTTTGCGTTGTTTCTCTGAACTCAGATGGTTTCGGATTGGTTTGCCTTGGTTCTGATTGACTACCACTCTGCCAGGGGTGCTCAGAATGGAACGTTTTCCCCTCTCTGGAACCAATGCTGCAAGAAACCCTTGCTTTGACCGCATGTTGTTGCGTTTCATAGCTTGTAGTAGCACCCCAGAAAGACCTTGAAGATCCACCTTGAATGCAGCTCAAACTATGCAACTCTACACTCTGCAGCTGGGAAAGGTGTCTCTGCTCACGAGGAGAAGAATAAACTTTTGAATGACCAATTTCTGAGAAAGTGTGAGCTGGATTCAAAGCCCTTAGACTAAACTGCCTTCTGCAATGCTGTGAGCTGTCAAATGCTGTGTTGAGAGAATATGAGCAATCAATTGGACTCTTCGAGCTTCGCAGACGAAGGCAAGACGGCATTGTGGTTCCTTGGAGCGGATCAAAGCAGACGGAAGCATGCGCCATAGCGGCGTCCCTACAGAGAGTACTTCAGCAGCTCAGTAGAAGGTATCTCAGCTGCGCATTTTCTGGAAGGGTTCGCATTTGGGTTTGCATCTGGTTAGCGTGTTCCTGTCGCACCATGTTATACGAAAGAACGGCAAAACAGTCTCGGTGGGAGAAAACCTTGCAGGGTTTGGAAGTTCGCCCTCTCTGGTCGTAGACTTGACACGTCGCCTCACAATAGCGAGCACCCCAGCGAAAGGGCGCGCGCGCGCTTTCGAACCAGGCTGGCGGCCGCGCAGCGCAATTGACGGTGCCTTGCATATACATGCCAGGCAGGCAAGGAACGTAACATGTCCGGTCCATGATGAGTGTACAAAAGTTGGTCACGCATGCCGAATTCGACCAACATGTTCTACTAGAGTACTATCGGTTGGATCACGCGTATCTCGATATGAAACGTCGCGAGATGCACTTCAGCTCCTCATGAGCGGATATATTGTGACAAAACATTGAAGGTGCTGCAGTGTGTACCCGCAAGCTTACTTTTCAGGCGCGGCCGGTCACAGTGTGTACGGTGAGAGATTTCCTGCTGCAGCTCAACAATATAAGTGAGTCAAATTTAAGAGAAGGGTACACTTGGGCGCGTGTGCATGAAATGTCGCATGTCATGTTTGCAAGAAACAATCGTGGTCAATCAGCATGTTCATGGCCTGGCATTGGAATGTCGTCTTTAAGAAGTGAGCAATCTAGCTCACGAACGTACGTCAACCAGCGCTGCATAGTGAGAACGTACTTGTGGTTGAAGTCAGTGAAGACAAACGCACATGCTTAACTGGTGCTAGAAGCTGTTGAAACTTTCCGCTTTCAACTTTTCAGATTTATAGGCGCGATTCCCAACATAACTGCAGTGACTCGAAATGCACAACGATACGCTTTCGACCAGGAGCCTAATACGTACTGGTCCTCCGCCGCACCACTGGCTTGCGCGCCGCGACCGGGCTCGCGTCCACCGGCTCTTTGGCCTTTGCCCGGGTCACCATCCCTGAGGTAAAGCTGCCCGGAGAGGAGCTGGGGGCGCTTCCCCCGCCCGTAAATGACTGCACGTTGGTGTACTTGAAAAACAGGTAGATAGCGACGGCGAACCCAAGGATTGGGACGAGCGGCGTCACCGGGGCGTCGTGCTTCTCGTGGCTCTCGGCCGCAGAGAAGTGGAGGGTGCCAACGTGTGTGGGCTGCACAACGGATGCCACGTGTCAGACTCCCCGGAATCCGCCGAGCGGAGGGCACCTGGCCGGCTATTGAGCACGACGAAAGGAGCCTACCGGCTGCATTCCGGTCAGTTCTGATCCCCTTGGAAACGAAAAGTGGAGACGTTGCCAACTCTGTCTTGCTGAGCTTCGCTTAGCTGAGCCACCGTAAGTTCTTATCCGCCCAAGTCCTCTTGCATAGGCATTCAGAAACCGGCGGAACCAGGGTGAGACCAATCAGGCTCCCTTTAATGGACAAAACATTGTCGACAACCCTTTACTGGACATAGCATGTCGACAACCCTTCATGTCGGGAAGACACGTTGGATATAGACGAGACTCTATCAGAAATACAACCCGCTTCCTCCCTTGAGAAGCTACTAGTCAGGGAACTAGAACGGACGGAAACATTTGAGAAGCTGCGCACCTTGCACCCCTCGCCGAGGTCCACTTCCACCGACTCCGCCTCGAAAGAGTGCGTCCGATCGGAGAGTCCGAACGCCAACTTCACGACGTACCTGGCAAAAATAGCAGCGTAAGTCTGTCAAGAGAATTGTGTTCAGACACCAAAAGCTGGCAATACTCCACCCATAACGCAGAGTGTACCTGATACGGTTAGGAACACCACCGCCCCGTTCTAATCATAAGCGGGTGCATCCAACTAAGGTAAAGTGCCACAGAACAAGCGTTTCTTTCAGCTCAGAATCACCTTCAAAAGAGCTCGGAACCAAAAAGGCACCGGCGTTCTCTCTACAAGTCGAGTGACTGAGCATTGGCCCCGAACGTTACTTAGACTAAGTCGTGCCGGCTCTTCCGAGTACCGTACTGCTTTTTAACATCGGCACCTTCGACGCAAAATAGTTAATTATGAAACGTTTGAAACTTTCGGCAGACCTAGCGTTACCTGCTAAAAAAACCGTTATCGCCCTTGGATAATTATTTAGAAATTTCAGCAGGCCAAACAATCATTTATTTTTCCCCGATATTAAAAAGCAGTACGGTTTTTAACTTTTCATCGAAGCGTCCTCGACCGGGACTTCGAAAAACTTGGCACGACTGGTTCCCTGACTAGGTCGGGTACTCGAGTTTGGGCGGTTTATATCTTCCGGTCAAGTTTCTTTCCATCACGTGCGTTTATAACCAACGTTCTCGGTTCGCCCCGCCCAGATACATTCTCAGCTTTTCTTGTGGCACGCCACAACCTGAACCTTCCAGCACAAAAGGGTTTGGTGGAGAACTCCAGTATTTCTAAGTCGTGAGTACGGCGATAGACTCACTTCCCGGGCGCGAGGCCCCCAACCTCGAAGAACCGGGAGAACGGCAGCTGCACTGCTCGTGCGACTGAGGACGACGATGCAGAAACAACCTCCACCTGCGCAAAGACCAAAAAATGCTTCAGGCTCTACGCAACGTCGAAGCTATCGGGATGACAAAGGACAGTAGAAGCCGAGTACACGGAGATCCGTACCAGGTTTTGCCAAATGAAACCTCTGGGCGGGTTTTATTTTGCGTCATCTCGTGGGACCCCGTACTTAAGTAGATTATAGCCATGTCCTTGGTCTCATTGGCAACGACGGATGTATGCTGATATGTTATGATATGTATGATGTATGCTTGAAGGTGGACAGAGCATGCTTCAAGTCAAGAGGAAGAAAGCGGAAGCTCGTTGACCCCCGTCATCGCTTAACTCTGCGCATTTTATTGTGCCATTCACCAGACTACCGCCTTGGTCCCAAGCCGAACACTTTGTTGTCCCCGGTGCTCACGGCCGTGCCCGTGGTCGAACCGCTCTTTCGTTCTGCTTCTCTTGTCTTTTTTCCCCCCCATTCCCAACCTTCCTATTGTTACCCCCGAAACGATCTTCCAGCTTTTTTTTTTGTCAACCCCCAAAAAGTCTTCCTTTTGTTGCCCCCGAAAACCATTTTTCAGCAAGCAGAAAGTAAGCTGCGGCAAAGCGAAAGACGAGAGGAGAACGAGCACACAACGGTACGTACCGTGACTTGCGGTCTGTACTCCTCGTCGCCCTCCGCTACACCGGTAATCGTGCACTTGCCGGGCCGCTCGAACACCAGAAAGTCGACCCCGTCCTTGTCGGCACTTGTCACGGAAACTGCGGTTTCGCCAGGGGCGGCGCGCTCCACCCGAGAGGACACGTCCGTCTGCAGGAGCATTCTTCAATGTCAAAGAAGGTCTCCTCCTTTCTCTCTCTCTCCACCTGCCTGTATCATTCTCGTGATTTCTGTGTCGCCTTCCCGCCTTACATACTTCTATCCGTCACGCCAATCGGAGAATCCCTTTTGAGCTCACTACTCTAAGACTGTGAACTCCTTTTGGATTCAGGAGATCAACACAGTTTCCTTTTTGAGCCTGTAATACCTCCTCAACCGCGATGACATGCAACGTGTTCGAGATCAACACTACAAATTCGATTCAAGCACCAGAAATTGAGCAACCAAGAGTGTCAATCTCAACAAACCTAGTCAACTTGACCCACCTTAATTCGGACGGTATACTCCGTGTTTGGCGCCAGCCCCCGCAGCCGATACTGTCCGGAAGCATCCGTCACCGCCTCCTCGTACGAGCCGTCCGATACTGCTACAACGGTCACTCCTTCTGCCACGTGGCCCCCCAGGAGACGGACGGTGCCCAGAACGGAGAAGGCCGTCCGATGGGCGACGAATCGGACGGTTTTGGACTGTCCGGAGCCGACCTCAATGACTGCGTTGGCGGGCTCGAAACGGTACTCCTGAGAATAAGAGGAAAGTGGAATGCATGAGATACGCCGCAATTGTCATCTTCATGTTGGGCCACAAAGAACCTCTGCTGCTGAAAGTATTTCGTCTTCTATGTTGCAAGCTATTTCCGCTTTTAGACTTTTTGATTTTTGTGTCAGACGGAGGGGGGACAAGGATATATGTCTTGATTCTGCGTAATGGGGTCAGCTAGCGACTGAAACCCGTTTCGACAGGACCAGCTTTCTTGTCTAGCTCAACTGTTCACGACTCCGGGGTTTGAGATTCAAATAAGATTGCTCTCATTTTGTGTTTGAAAAGAAGACGCTTCAGCATTGTTCGTCAACAAGCTGTAAAGAGGTCGTCGGCAAGCGAAGCGGCGTGTTAAGCTGTCCCATCTCGGACTCGCTGCGAAAACATCATCATGCGGTGCCCAAAAAGCAAACGAGACGGTGAAACCTTTTATCAAGTCGCACAGGGTGCGCTGATCCCTCGACGAGCTTCAAGACGCGTGTAGGACCGACGAATGAATGAGACTCCTCATATTCCCAAAGATTGCTTGGAAAGATAACAGCACACGGGCAATGTGGTCAAAGACGCCAGGATTGTAATGACCAGCTCAAGGCAAGAAAAAAATGCACTTGGTTCAAATCCTGTCAGCAGCGCTCTTGCTGCCAGATCGCAGTAGTCACCGATCCAGACCGCAGAAGAAGTGGTACAAGTGAAGCGTTCCAAACGAAAAGTACAAGGGCGTGCTTTCCGTCACAACTTGAATGCAAAGCGCCTAGTCAACAAACGCCCACTGCCCCAAAGAAACGCTCACCTTCAGAAGCGGCTTCAAGTAGAAAGTACCCGGGAAGAGCTCCTCGAACGTCAGACTGCCCCCCTCTCCAGTAGCGGCGTTCTTTTGGTACCGCTGATCCCCTGACAGCGAGAGCAGAACGGACGGAAGCGGTTGCTCGGCGCCGGAACCGGGGCCGATTTCCACCACGATCTTGCCCAGCTTCAGCCCCTCGAAAGACCACTTGTCGCCCGGTGTGAACTGGCGGAATTGGAAGCCGGGCTTGGAGGCGACCGCCTCGTACTCAGCGTCGTCGTAGAGGGGTCCAACCGAGTACCTGCGAAGATTTCGGGTCGCTCGTTGCAAGAAGTCGAATGTACCATTTGTAGCTTTACAGGTTTGAGACGAGGGGTCGTTCTGCGTTGCAGGGTTTACGGATGGTACCTAACGGGGGTGAATCCAAACAGATGACAGAAAACGGGGAAGGGGTTTCGAAGGGCCCCCTTCGTCTCAGATCATTTGTAAGTATCCTACAGAAGCTCGGAAACACAAGAATCGAGCCTCGGAAGTTGAGCTCGCAGGGACTGGGCGAAGTAAACAGAACAACTTGTGTGGAGGCATCGGTCTAGGGACGCAGTCCTTAAGGGAGTACTTGAGACTCTGGGGCGTGCGTTGAATGAAAGTTTTAAGATGTAAACTCAGGAGATCATGTAACGGTTCCGAAACTGCGGATTCAGGAGCAAACATATTCCCAGTTCGGGTCAGTGTACGGTGCGCTGATTCCTCTTTCCGCATATAAGGATATAGGCTATGTGCATTCCCAGGGTTTTAGGCTTGGTGATTCTGCACGAGGTCAAATGCACGGCGGCTCATCAAACAAGCGAACATGTTGCTCGAGCACGCGTTCGCGCATCAAAAGCCAGTCAGGAACAGGAAACTAGGTGCGCGAGCTTCCCCTCCGCAGGCAACCAGGTATGCGAGCTTCCCCTGCCAATCGAACAACAAATTTCGACCACCCTCCCGTGTCGTTCTGCAAGTTCCAGACAGCCAGCGAAGGACCACGCCCAATCGAGGAAATGGAACGTTTAAACAGCTTGTTGCATGTGCACCAGACCATACTAGGAAAGAAAACTTTCCTAATCCCTAAAAATGACAGGCTGGAGTAGACCGTGTGTACTCACTTCCCCCGCTTGTCGGTGAAGGCCGTGACCGCCACCGCTCCGGCCTCTCCCCCGGCCGTTTTGCTCGGGCTCACAAACTTGACCTCCACTTTGACCCCCTCCTCCGGAGGGTTGATACTGCCCTCCACTTTCAGCCCCGGGCGACCTTCGAAAGCGGGAACCTTCGCTGGGCATTCTGTGGTGTCAGTTGACGGCACCTTTGTCGTCCTGCGAAACATTGACACTTAGATTTCAGATCTTGAACTGGGAAGGGGCGGATTGTGGCACCCATTTTCAACCCCCGCAAGTTTTGAAAGAAGGGAACCTTTGGGGGCAATAAGTGGTGTCAGCCGACTGCACGTTCGTTGTCCTGCAAGTGTCTGACACCAACTTTTTTTCTTTCGCTTGAAAGCCCGCTGATGGTGCCCTTCGCTTCGCTCGCGGGGCGAGCTTGGAAGGCGGGAATAACCAAGGGGCTCTCTGTAATGTCACAAAAACAAGAGAGAGAGAGAGAGGGAGAAAAAGGCGGCACTTCCTTGCCCCCGCAACCCATGCCAGCAAAATCGGACTGACGTTTTCCGTCTTAATACAAGTTCTGGAGGCGGAGACCTTCAGTCTAGGCAACTTCAAGGGATTGCACTCTCGGTTTGCTCGAGGTAACCATCCTCGCGAAAAATGGTCATGACGCCGTCACCCTCCGGCCCATGGCAGACTTGACCGCCGAGGACCTCATTTTGCGGGCACGACCGATCCCATTCAGGACACTGACGTCACTTTGGACGCTTCTGAGCCTTCTCACCAACCGAAAAGAGTTTCCCGACCCGGCTTCAGCACCTTCTACTCGTGCACGTTTCCAGCTCTGTATTGGTCCCGCTTGTCGGATGGTCCCTCTATATTAGAAAGAGCGGTTTCGGCCTTTTTCAGTACTGCGAAGATCCGTGGTAGTTCACAAGTGGTGCCAGCTCCTCACCTTGAGCGCGGGTAGAAAAGCAAATTCGAGTGCGCTGGCGTCAGCACCAACGCCTCCCCTGGGGCAGCCCACTTGGCGTACTCGTACACTACAGTGACGTCATCACCCGTCGCTTTTCTGGCCAGCAAGACCGGGATCTTCTCTGCGGCCGTCCCGGCGCTGCCAGCCGGCGCGCTGCTGACATAGATTTCCTCCGCGAGTGCGTCAGCGTCTGGGACGGTTTTGGAGTCGATCGAAATGGAACCCCGGGTTAGGAAGTGGGTTAGGCGGAGGTTGATGGGGGCTGGCGCAGCGGTGTCAAACTCGAAGGCCTTCTTGCCGAAGTAGACGCAGGCCCGCTCAAAGCTCAGGGAGTAGACACCAGGTTTCGGGAGGCAGAACTCTTGGGCGCCCGTTTTGATTGGCGCGTGGATCGCGTCGGAAGCGCTCCCGCCAAACAGCTCGATTGTCCCGTTCACCGCGTGGCTCGACTCAACCTTCATGCTAAACCCGGCTTGGGTTAGCTCTAACCCGGTCACGTCCTCCGCGCCCACTTCAAACTCCGCCTCGCCGTTGTTGACCCAGCACCACGAATTTTGGGTTTTGGCGCTAACCTTGTAATTTCCTGGGGTAATCTCGGAGAACGAAAACTTGCCCTCGGGGTCGTTTGGTTGCAGGTGCTCGGTTTGGGCAGGGGCGTGGGTTCCAATCGGGGATAAGGTCACGGTTACCGATTCGCCGCAGGGAGGGGATAAACAGATTACCGAGCCGGAGACGGTGACCTTGGTTGGAGTGAAGTCAACGTTTAGGAGGGGGCCACTGGATACTGCAATAAGGACGGGAATCATTTCGGCAATTGTTCGGGTTTACTGAATTGCTGATGTTTCATGCAGTTGATCTGGTTGCTTCGGTGTTGAGAATTAAGGTCAGCCACAAGGTCCGCGCAGAAGTGATACTCCCGTTATTCAGCTGTGCCGAGAATCAAAGTCAACGAGAAGCATGCCAGAGACGAAGAGACACGGGACAATAAGCTGGTTGTACCAGAATCTGGAACACTGACTTCACTAATGGAGTGCCAGAGCCGATGGTTAAGCTTTGTATTGCTTGCAGGGTCAACAACGAATGGAGGAAGCGTCGATGGACCTCGAGTCAGGGGCTGCTGCCTTTGCCTTTCGTTCTGAACATCACCGTTCCCAGATTTCAGCGTCTCCTGTTGAGCTCGTTCAGGAGAGAGACTAGACTTGCCCGAAGAGCTACTTTGCCTTCTGTTCCACAAGTTGGAAGCCTTCAAGTCTTTTGTTCATTAATCAAGAGCAGCTCCTGTCCGGAAAATTTACCCAGGCACCTTTGAAAGTATCTCGGTAATCTAGATGCATGCAAAGATTGGCGACTTTCAACTCACGCTTCACTTCTTTGGAGGCCGGGGTGAACAGCACGCCCGCCGCTTTCTCCTGGCTCGACACCACAGGCGACACCACGTACTCTCCCGCAGGCACGCTGAAGCAGTACTTGCCGCTGCTGGTGTCAACCGGCGCCGTTTTGGGGCCGACTCCAGCCGGCCCGTGCGTGAGCGCCACTTGGCGCGACGAGGAGTGGTCGGGGGAGATGACGACACCGCAGAGGTCGTACGCGTCAGCAATGACGTCAGGGAGGGTCGCCATGCTTGGGAGGATGGTGAGGGAACTGAGGGAGGGGAAGCGGTGGTGCGGCTTGGAGGCTTCGATGGTGTACTTGGTAGATGAGGACACCTGCAAAAGCGGGGTTGCAACATGCTTCAACACGAACGAACAGATTGTCTTTGTCAAGGTTTGAAGATATCCAAGTCGCGGACTTGGATGAGGAGGGCAACTATGACCGAAAAAGGGGGACCCGGAACGATAGTTGAGCTCAATATGTGGCTTTCAAACTCAGAAAACTTGGCAAAGGAGTCCGGGGCAGCAAAAACAGCTCCAACCCGTTCACCATCCCCTGCGTACTTTGTGAAGGAGCCAGAGACACCCCAAGTCTTGGCCAGAAAGGATACACGAGAGATGCACTGTAAAGCTGGTACTGTACAATAGCAGAATCAATTGAGCATAAAATGGTCAAGCTGGCAACTAAAAGTTGAAGGACCCTGCCGAGGTTTTTCCTTCAACCCAGAAATTTCGACAGAAGTGAGCGCATGTGTTTGCAAGTCAATACAGGCCAGCGTGAAGGCGGAACTGAAGCAGGAAAAGCAGACGAGCACTGACGAACTTACAAGTGCTCACGTTCGACACAGCGAATGTGCAAAGGACTTTAGCGGAAATAGAAGCTGGTACAGTTGAATAGCATAATCAAGGTACACGTTTCTCCATCATGAAAGGTTCATGACGGAAGCCATAGGAGTTGCGCGACGAAGCAAGACACCCACCTTGTCAATGCTGTATCGGCCATCCGCTGACGTCACACCCCCGTCCGCACCGTTGATGACGATTTTCACGCTCGCGATGCCTTCTCCCTTGTCATTGAGCACTCTGCCACTTACAGAAAAACCAGTCACCTGAAACAGAAAAGGATTTGTCATACAAGAGCGGATGCTACCAAGCTTTTTAGCAGCTTATTCTACGGAAGTCTGAAGCAGATCAGCGACGGTCCCCAGCGACACTAGGATTCTTAGAAATGGCGCATTGAACGGGGTGCGAGGTACTTTGCGAAGGTGGAGTCACATTCAATGGCGACGAGTAGAATCAAAGAGGATGGAGTCATCTTAAAAGAGCAAAGAGTAAAGTACGACTGATTCGCATCATCGTGACTTGAAACGAACTGCGGGTTGCTGGATTTCGACAGAGGGAATGGTCAATTAGTCAACCGACTTGGGTTGGCTCCTTGATTACGGCCCCCCCGTGCATCAACATTCTAACCGTCATCATTGGCAGCCAAAGATTAAAAGGTCAGAAAAGGCAGCAAGGCAACGTTAGTGTCTGCTCCTCTTGGTAAACGGCGACCGAGAAACAGGGAAACAGGAAGGAAGCAGATCACAACGGGTGAATGTATCAGCGACCGACTTACCCGAAAATGGACACCCCGTGCCTGATCGTTACCTCCACCTCCACAAGCTATGCGTCCCACCCCGGGCATTCACCTCGATAGAACGGCAACCAAACCAAAACGAAGATAGACAAGCAGAAACTAGATTGAATCTCCGACTGATTCACTCGAAACGGCTCTTCAAGAACGGCCCCCCCGTTCCCCACCGTCACCTCGGCCTCCGCAGGCGACACGTCAAACACTGTCTCTTCCCCTCGGTAAAAGCGCCGACCAGGAAATAACGAGACGGCAACCAGCATGAGGTAGGAAGAAAGTAAATCCCAAAACTGGTGATCTACATAACTGACTCACCCGAAACAGCTCCTCGACGACGGGCCCCCCGTGCCCCACCATACCCTGACCTTCGCAGGCGACACGTCAAAGACCGTCTGTTCTCCTCCAGAAATTCGCAACCAAAGAAGAACGAAGGTAGATAGGAAGCAAATCAGAGAAACACAATCGGACTTTGGAATGACTTACCCAAAATGGCTCTTCAATGACGGCCCCTCCATGCCCCACCGTCACCTCGACCTCCGCAGGGGACACGTCAAACACCGTCTGTTCCCCTCGGTAGAATGGTACCAACTTGTACGATGCGCACGGCAGACCCGAGAAGCCGAACGTGCCGTCTTCTTTGGAGGTAGCCACCGCGAGCGGTTTGCCGTGTCCTGAGGGACCGGTGCTGGACGGCGGGGGGGCGTCCGGGAGCGCTTGGAAGTCGTCCGAATAAAGGAACACCTGCAGCGGGGCTTACACTAAGAATCTCGACTTTTGGGGGCGATCTAGATGCTAGGAACTGAGGATGACCGGCTTCTGAGTAGTAGTGTTGCTCCGAAGGCTCGTAGAAGCATACGCAAATTGAGGTGAGAACGGAAGGGTGAAGGGGACTTGGATGTCTTTTCTGGAGTAGAAACCTCTACTTGCGAACTCGAAGCTCGGTATCATTGCAGATTCGTAGAGCGCTGAACGCACAATCTGTCGAAGGTCGCTGCCTACTCGGACTAAAACTCCGCGGGTTTCAAAACGAAACCTAAGCCGCCGAACGCACGAGATGAAAGCATGAGTCAGCTGAAGATCTGCGTTTGGCCCAAGCGTGGTTGGAATGTGCGGCCAGCTTTGACTAGAAACTGCAATGCCTCACGAAAGGATCCGCTTACCTGAACGCCTAGGATAGGATTCCCGTCTGCCACGACAGACCCAGTCAGATCGTAGCCGGTCACTGTAAAGTCCTTCGCCACAGCTACGTTGCCCCAGTCAATTGTGACCTCCCGCGGCGCCCCGTCCAGCTTCCAGGACGAGTGGGAGGCTGACACCGTGTAGACGCCTGCAGCCCGCACAGTACTTGGTAAAAACTCAGTGTCAACTGTCGCCAGGGGATGTCCTTCTCTGCTGGATCTGAATATCAGGCTGCCAAACGAGCGTTCCGATGAACCTTCGGTCCGATCACCGACGGACGCGCGTTGTCAATATCACAAACGCTAAACGTTCCCGCTTTTCTGAAGTATTATGTTGAAGTTGTTAGTGCTCAGCACTGCCCCAGTACCACTCGCCAAACGACGTTCCACAGGCCTTACAGGTCAGAGTCACCAAGCAAAATCGCTGAACTCACACGCCAAAGTTGCTCAAACATGCACACCTGCGACACTCACCCGATGGAGAGTTTCTCAATCGTTGTATCCAGGTAAGCACCAGTGCAGACTTTAAGTGCACCGGTCCAAGCCACCTGACTGCTCATGATGTCAAGTGCTTCCTATATCCCACCGGCTGAAGGCCTACCTGACGACAGGTTTCCGAAAGAGTACCTCCCGTTGGCATCCGAAACGGCGGACGTCGTGCTGCCGTCCGGTCTCTTCAGTGTCAACTTCACTCCCTCCGGACCGGCATTCCCAGACTGGGGGCAAGATTTGCCTCCAGCTCCGCTCTTGACACTGCCCGTCAAGGAAAAGCTGCAAGCAGGGAACGAAACGTGACTACCAGATGCAGGTGAACCTTCTTTAAGCGGGGCGTTTGGGTAATTTCCTTTTCCATCGGGCAAGCGGTCTCAAAGTTGGGGTATCGCTTGCTCTGGTGGTGCTCTTGACAGCGCCTGTCAGAGGACGTGCAAGCTAAGACGGGCAATTATTACCAGGCACACATTTGTAGACCGTCCAGATCGCGATATAGTCAAACGGAATATACAAGTCGGAATACCTGTGATCACTCGAAACTAGTTGACATGGTCCAATCATTGTAGCATGGAGCACGGTACAAGTAGGGCCCTCAACCCAGAGACGTGAACCGTTTTGCTTCAGACCGCTTTTCTAGGCCCAATGCTTCGAAAGCCCTACGAACGGCATGCCTTGGCGATCAAGAACTGCTGCAATTTGACACAGGCAAAGGCCTGCCCTCCTCTTCATCAAGTCTCCAACATTTGTGACAACTAACTCTATTTCCGCCCAGATATCTGACGGAGGTTTGCACCTCACCCCGTGACCTTGAAGTTGACATACTCCTCCGTTCCACACGCCTCGCCAACGTCAACGTGCGTGGACGGCGGGTCGAACGTCCACCCATCAGGCCCGGCTACGCGCAGCATGTACGAACCCTGCAGAGACCACGGTCTCGTAAGTATGGCGGCGAAGAATGGAAGGCGCTTAAAACCCTGTAGATCACTTACTTCGACCAAGTAGATATCAGCCGTTAAAGCTGATAGATGATCGCGCCTGAACATAGATGATTGTCCCTCGTCAGGCGAAGGTTGGTTTCAAGTCACAGGAGAAACTGCGGATATTCAGCCGGCACTGGGCTCGGGGGCAACGACTTTGCAAGAGATAGGTTAGAGTCTCTCCTCGTATGGCTTCAAAGGCGGGAGCAGTCAATGTTGCAAGCTTTGGTGCTAGCGACTTCGCTTTTAGCGCTTCAGCATTGTAGTAGGACCATAAAGAAGGCAAGTGAAACTTGAAATCCCAAAACATGGCCATCAAGCATTCCTGCATAGCAGACTATAAGGAAAACATCCTCAGACCCAGTCCTTAAAGGCGGCTGGCAAGTTCCCAGATTCAGTGCTTCTCACCTTGTCATAGACGGGGATGAAGTAGTACCCATTCGGGGAGCACTCGGTCTTTTCCTTGACCACGCCTAGGTCGCTAACCAGCTCGACGGAGATGAACGAGTAGTCCAGCTTGGCGGCTGCGGCCCCCCTTGCACTAACCAATGCATGACTTGCCTGAAGAAGGATAGAAGAAATGTGAGGAGCAAGAGTTCTTAGCCAAATTTCTGATCGATGCGTAGTCTGGAGTTTGCATAGACTGTAACTGTACATAGACTGTAACTGTAGGCTTTGATCGCTAGAATATATGTGATGAGGGTCATCGTTTTCGAGAGAAGGTGGTAAGCGGTGACCGTCCGCCAGGATCTGGACGAAGTATTGAAGAGAACTCTGTGCGGCGGAGGACTACTTACGGCTGGGATTCTTAATAGACTCTGACAACTCACTAGGGTCTGCATTTGCATGTCATGAACAAGGCGGCCCAGCTTTGATGGTGGAGGTGGTGCAAAAGATGGTAATTGATGACGTTGACCCTCTGCACTTGATCTATCTCCAATGTAGGAATGCAAGAGAGTGACGGGTATGTATCCGGGCTGCATTTGCAATATGAAGCCAGATTACACCAACAACGCAAGCTAGTGATTGCTGAGTTGGATAACCAAGATCTACCTTTTTCCGTCCCAATTACGGCATCTTTTGAGTTTGCCCGATCCCAAATTGTCAAATTGACAAGTTTACGATCTGTCCATGGGTTTACCAAGTTGCACCGTACACTATCAGAACGACACAAGAGGAGCTGTAGAAAGGAGCAGGCTTGTCGACTGGCGCCACCAAGAAGCGTTACAACTAGGTGGAAGAAACTAATGCAGCGCACGCTCGGTCACTTCATAAATGCAATGACGCCGGCATCAGACGCAGTGTAAGTGTCATGCTGGCCCATGCCTCAACGCTGTACCCATTGGCTAAAAGACAAAGATAGGAACAATTAGAAGATGGGATCAAGATGGCGGACACAAACTACCCACCTCAACAAAACCGCCACATCCAACTATTTCCGCACTGCTTCGCCCCGCAAGCACCACCAAGGCGAACACCGCAACGACCCAGACGTTGAACCCCATCCTGGCGCTCAGGTGCTGACAAATCGGCCTACCTCAGGCTGATGCTGTGTCCATGCAGAGCAAAAATGGAGCTCTGCATTCGCTTCTGATCGACTGCTTTTCAAAGATAAGGGTTTCCAAATTGCTCACCTGCGTGAAACCCTGCACTAGCAGGGTTTGTTATCTTGGTATCAAACCCTCTTGCAGGTTTTGCTGTTTGAAACGTCGTGAAGTTCCTGTTGCAAGCGCCGGGCACAGTAGAGAGAGTTGAAACCCCTTTCTTCATCGGTACCCTATCCACCGAGAATATAAAGCTCTTTCAAACTGCCCGGTATAAATAAGAGTCTGGAGGCGGTGAAAGTGCTTCAAGACAGGAGGAGCCTTAAAGATATATTCCGAAAAACCCGAAGAACATAGCCGTCAGAGGAAGGTGCTGTAACCGTGGCCGGCGTAACGTACCTACCTCCCCTCCGCCAGATTTCTACTTTGCACCTGAGGTCACTTCAATCAAGGTTTCAGGGCAATTCAGGGCGTCTTCGAAGACTTCGTGTCGTTTGGTCCCATTGTTCAGTTTCGCAAAAAGAGAAGAGAGAAGAGCAAGGTGGTCCGCCCTGCTGACGCACGCCGGTTTACCTTGCGGGAAGAGGAAGAGGCCTTTGCCAGCTTTCTGGTTACTAGAAGTATAGGCGCAAAAGCTGTGGCTGCCTGATGTCGCCTTTGCACGACACCATTTCCGCAGCTCGTTGCCCCGCAAGGTGTGCATGTAACGGGTGAAGACGTAAAGTTTTTTGAGCTGCGGCAGCAATCGATATGGCGGCAGATCTTGACTCTGGCTCAGCTTCCGACGCTGTGCTTTCGCTTGGGGCTGGCAAAATGCAGCACGTGCAAGACACCATCAGACATGCTGATGGAGTCCCACATTTGCCAGGGGGAAATGGCTCTGAAAAAGCTGGTGCCAAGACTGGAGTGGCCAGGCTGGTGCTCGAGGCAACGGTGGTGACGGACCCTGGCAAACTTAGAGAGAACACTGGCAAGCTTTACTCGTCTTCTGAGATTAAAACTGGCGAAGGGGGAGTAAGATCTGAGTCAGAGAAGGTTCCCCCACAACCGGCAAACTTAGCATCCTTGGAAGGTGCATTAGGGCTAAACGAGGAAGCGCAGCCAAGCCTTCAGTTGACTGAACAGGAAAGCCTTGCGTATCCTCCTGTAAGGGAGATGGAGAGTGGGGAAGGGCCCCCTTACGCACCCCCAGGTTAGTGTCACATTACCTGCCTACATTGTGGAGGTATTATGGAATGTGAAATGGTTGTTGAGGATTTCAGAAATAGATAAATATGAGAAGCTTGATATCAAATCTGCTAGAAGGGCTGTCAAGGAAACATGTAGCTCTGGTTCCCCCAACTTTAATATATTTAGGATACTGCATGATAGGGAGGAGATAGATGTGATATATTTGGTGCAAAATCTGCTGATGCCTTAGTTATCTAGGACGGATTGGGAAAAGATGGGTAATGGCAGATGCTTAAAAGAATTGTCGCTTAGCACCGTGCAACCTTCTTACTTTTGGAGGTTCAATCTGGTCAACTGGTACATTAGCCGCATTCCACAAGTATGTAACACCCAAGGCCAGAGGCTGACTCTGCAACATGTGTTTCAGGTTGGCGGTGGCGTGTGGGAAGGAGGCAAGCAAACGGAACATGGACAGACAGGCAAGTCCCTTGAATGAAACTTCTTTGTCAGCATTTGTGTGACACGTCAGCACCTCAGTCCACCTACCTTGCAAAGATGCTGGTTAGGTGAATATTACATGTGTACTCTGTAATGGAGCGGGGGCCAGAGTGACCTGGCAGAAATCTTATAGGTGTTGGACTTATATTTTGCCATCTCCCGGATCTGTACAAAGTCGCGCTGTAGCCGCATCTCCCTTACACATTTTATCTTTAGTTGCTTGTCCCTTTCCCTCAAAATGGTTCTGTAAGGGCAGGGGTACGCGCTACCTTGAGAGCCGACTCATCTAAACCAAGGAGCCAAGCCGAGCAAATGCAGAGCTCAACAAGCGCATACACATCGTGGCCTTTATAAATGGATTGTGCTGTGCCTGATGGGTGTGCATTCTGCCCTCATGCTGATCTAGAAACCGTTATTGAGATATAATACATCCATATCCTTGTTAGATTGGTAATTGTCGCACCTCCAATGCCAATTCTTAAGCAAACTGCAAGAGTAAAGAGTGTGTACGTCAGCTGTGGCTTCTAATGCCCTTGCTCTGCAATTTGGGGAAGAAGTGTGCATTGAGAAATTATGCACACATCGGTTTAGGGGTCTGGTTTGGGGGCAGGTTGTGAAGCAACAGGAGCATAGTAGGAGATTAGTGAAGAAGACCTTGCGTAGAGGGGCCTGGCAAAAGCTGATGGAAGAGTCTCAAGAAGCCGCTAATGTCCAGCAGACTGTTTGCATCATCCACCACCTATTTGACATGACATTTGTAAACTTCGGAGAGGGAAGAGCTTGCTCAGGGTTGGTTCGTCACAGGGGCTAAACTTCCGCCAGGCTTTTTCTGAGTGCTCCTGACATACGTAAGGTCCCCCCTTTGCCCAAAGTGAGTGGCCCTGGCCTGTCTGGACATGAGAACAAGAAAATGTATGCCAAGAATAAGGCATGCAGAAAGGGCGGGGGAACAGGGGCTTTGATAGCACTTTTTTCCGTGTGGCCTGCACCTAGGGTCTTGTCGAGGTGTCTACTCCAAGGCCACTGGTGCTGTAGCAAAGATTGCTGGGGGCGACTCTTCGAATCGAAGCAACATTCACGTGACTCTTGGCTTCTTCTGTCAAGGAGGTTGGGACTTCTGGGGGCTACCCTGTGCTTTGAGGGCTTTGAGAAACGTAGACTGTCAGGATTAGAAGCATCGATAGTGATGTCATCGGCGGAATAATGTTCCAACCCCCATTTTTTGCAGGTACTTTTATCCCCCGGGCGGCAAGAGAGAGTTTGCTAGCAAGAAGCAAGTGGAGCAGTACCTCAAGTACACCCAGCCCGGCATTGACTTGGACGCATTCTGGGAGACATACCGGTGGCGGATACCTGCTGTTGACGGTGAGCTACACTTAGCACTCAACTCATACAGCAAGTAGAGTGTTTGGCCGACAGCAGCAATTGTGATGTCCCGTGTAATTGCCAAGAGGCGGGCAAGGCACTGTAGACAGAGGGGAGATGGTCAGCTTATCGATCGCCGAAATGTCAAGGGGGCGTCAGTTGAATCAGCACTTAGTGAAGGTTTGCAACGGTACAATCTTCATAATGACGTTTGGTTGAGAATGAAAATGAGTAACTTAGCCATCAGTGCTCCGTTAGGGACTCTTTGCCAAAGGCCATGGCCGGGGCGATTTGTTGGAAAACCTTGAAACTTGCATATGGCGAGGTTTGTGCGGCTTTCTTTTTTTGAGCATCTCTTACAAACACTTTCTAGTCATCTTTTCATTCTGGATTGATCTTTTAGGAGGTAGCAAAATGGAGTCAAGTATGCTCAAGAGCCAGATTGCCCTGGCGTAAATACTCCTATAGTTTTGGTAGGATAGCATCGTTTGTAGGTAGGATAGTCACACTCACCGTGCAGAAACAAAACAAGAAACCTAATTCAACAATCTACCGACTCCGCACCCTTGCCCACCCCAACCTTCAACCTAACCCCCACCCATCCCCCGGGCCATGACCATATCCTACCTGGTTCCATCCTACCTAAATCATAGGTCTATCTGGCATAACCCTACAGGTTCGGGGGAGAAGCGCCGCCCGGACACCGGCTCAGACGCCTCGGCCCGGCCAACAACAAGCGACACCACAAAGCGCGCTAAAAGTTCCAGGGAGAGCTCCCCGGCAGTGGCGCAGGCGCACAGCACGTCCCCGGCGCCGAGCGACCCGCGGTCGTGCCCTAAGCGGAGTGTGGCGTGCGGCTTGGTCACCGGCAAGAGCTTCCTGCTAGTGGTAAGTTTTGACTGGATGGACATCCAACTGTCTGAAGGCTGCTTTGAGGATTTTTTTGGCTTATGCGGCCTTACGTCCTGGTCTGCTATCTGCTTTGGGCACTGGCAAGAGCTTCTTGCCGGTTGTAACTTAAGCTGGAATCAATCTGGAAAGTTCTTGATGGAACTGTATCCTGGGTGTCGACTTCCATTTCAGTCCTCTCAAGAATAGCAGCCAGTCGAGGACCTTGGCCAAGTGGAGACTTACACTGTGGATTCACAAAAGTCACATCCATGTGGCCTGTGTAAAGGAGGCCACACGCAGCCAGTACCCGTACAACATCGCTTGCTGAATCCCTCGTTTATTGTGTCAAATCTTCCAACCTTGGTGTTCACTCAACACCTATATATAGTGCAGGCCCTTGATCCTCGCATTTTTTGATTTCTAATTTGTGACGCTGATGTTTCTCTCCAGGCAACCAAAGTAGCCCCATGCGACATTTGCTGCGCTGAGGAGGGCTTCTGCAGAACGTGTAGCTGCATCTTTTGCAACGGGGACGTGAGGTAAGCAGCCGGTTGAGCGGTCTTTACTTTCTGGGTCCTCCATTCCTAAGAGTGGTGCTTCTGGCGAAGGACAAGTAATGGTTGAAGCAAGGCAACGTACTGGTGGGTTTTTGATAGGTTTCAGCAAGAGCGGGGACTTGGTTCTGAGGGCTCCATTAGGGTCTGGAATGGAAGTACCGTTCATTATAGATGTGGAGCCTCCTGCTGTATTGTGGCAGGATGACTGGCAGGCTCTGATTGCTAATTGCTGCTTGCTTGGCTTTACCACATCTTGTCTGGTTGGCAGACAGCAAAGAGACGCTGGGATTTGCATTGCCTGGCGTGTCTACTACAGTCGTTTGACTGCACTTCTCGATTACCCACTATTCAGCCTCGACTGCTTATGTGAACCCTTTAACTTCATCAAGCTCAGCTGTGATGCAGTGTGCATTCAAGGTGCCCTTCATTCAGTAAAGACGGCTTCCAATTTCCCTGGACTTTCAGCGGGACTCACCTCCACATCGCCTGCTTTCATCATTGATTGCATGACTAGGGATTTATTGACCGGTTCATCCTTTTCATTCCAGAGGGGATGCGTCCAATTCCGTCCATGTGAGTGGCATCTGGTGTGCTCGATCATCTGGAGCAGGCCTTTGTGGACACGCTGCGCATCTGCGGTGCGCGCTGACCAACAAGGCCGCTGTCAGCAACAAGAAGGAGCGCACGGTTAACTACCTCTGCAGGCGATGCGGAGAGGTGAGTTACCAGCAGTGGGAGTGAATCTGGCATTTCCAAACGGGACCATTTTGCTCCTTAGAAGCTTTGCCTAAAGAATTTGGCAAGGTCTCCTCACAAACAGAAAGGATGTGGTCCTGACATGCATCAGCACCAGTTGTGGATCCTGTTGTCATCGGGTTGGCCTATGACGGCAATTGTAGGTCGGACAAAAACCTCGCACAACGATTAGCCTACAGGCCTTGTTTTCAGCACAGTTGCCCGGTTGAAAGCCTTTTCAAGAAGGTTAGACCAAGCCTTTGCGCCCTTCCTTGGAGAGCCCCATTCAAATCCATTTTGTCAGAGCAACCCCGTCCGAGTTGCTGCGATTCCTTGACTCCGAGTCCAGGCTTTATCATCTTTGTTCCTGGAAAATCCTCGTTCGCTCCTTACAATATTTCCTCCGCTGTTTTCTTCCACAGACGAACATCCTTTCCCTGGACGACGGCCGCCCTGTCTCTGCGGGGGATCCCCCTTTCCTCCCCGACAATCAGCAGTCCCAAAGCACCTCTCTCGCCAGCGGGACATCCAAGCTGGACCCCACCGCGAACGGTCACCACGCTTTTGGAAACCATGAGGCGCATCTAATCGCAGGGACGAAAGGCGAACTGGATCAGATTGTAGAGGCGGGGGAAAACGGTTTTACTTCGGGGGGGCAGCGCAATGGGGAAGCCAAGGAGACGGGGACTGAGGACGAGTACGAAGATCGTGTGAAGGAGGAGAGGCACGGTCAGTCGAGCACGGCGCAGCTGGACTCGGACCGGGGGGGTAGCGCAGCACAGGCGGGGACCCCCCCGCTAGAGGCGCTGAACAGCTTCACGGGGAGAAGCGACGCAGGGGGCGAGGAGCAGCAGGAGGGCCGTTCCCACGAGGGGGGGCACTCGCACCAGGAGAAACAGCCCCCCGGCATGAAGCAGGAGCCCGCGCAGTCGGAGGACCCGTTCGAGGTGGAGCTTGCACGGGCGCTGCTGCATCTGCCGGACGGTCTGCCGGACGACGGCGCGCCGCCGCTGACGGATTCGGACGAGTTTCAAACAGAGAAGCGGCGAAAAGACCTGCTGATTGCGGTGACGGACGGGCTTCGCGAGCGGGGGGAAAGCTCCGACAGCGGAGACGAGCCGCAGGCTTCGACCCCGGGGGGAGGTTTGAACACGCTCGCGGGACGAAGGATACTAGCAGAGGAAAAGGGCGCGTACGGGCTGCGCAAGAGCGCGTCCCAACAGAGCTTTGACTCGGGGTACAGCACTCCCCCCGACGAAGTCATTGACGGCGTGAGCCGGCCAAAGCGCAGCCGGGGCCGGGCAAGAACGCCTCGCACTAGTTCCAAGCCGTCGCAGTGGGTGCGCGCGGCGCAGGACGTAACCAACGGCGCGCATTCGGACGATCAGATGGCGGCAGAGCTTTTGGGGGGCGCTTTCGACGGGGAGAAGCAGTGGAACATCCCCCCCAAGAAGAGGGGCGGCCCCGGGCGGCCGAAAAGGAAGATGGAACCTGCCGGGCCGGTTGCGAGCCGCGAGCCGAGCGCCGGACTGTCTGAAGACGCGGCGCCGGCGTCCGATGACGAGCTGAACCCAAAGAACCCGCCGAAGTCGCGGTTCGTCACTGACGGGTTCCACCGGACTGCCGCCAGGGTGAAAAAGGAGGGCTACTTCGAGGTCGCGGTGAAACGGGACGAGGAGGAAGAGAACCCCGGGCCGATTCCAATTGGGAGCAAGATTCCGCGTGCGAGCCGTTCCGCACGGCATACGCGCGTGCACATCTCGGCGTCGTTTCTGCTCGCAACCAGCGAGCATGACAGCCCGGCGCAGAGCGATTCGCAACCACACGATCTAGATACCCCGGGGTCGCCCGGGGTAAGGAGCGAGAGCCCGTCAGTGTCTGGGCTGAAGCGGAAACTAGAGGCGAGGGAGAACGGGCCGGCTCCTAAGCGGAAGGGGAGGCCACCGGGCAGCAGGAAGGACGGCGGCAATGGGAGGGGCGTCGTGGTGGATTTTGAGGCGGATCTGGATGGGGCGATGAACGGGGGCTTTGGGGCGGCCAAAGCCTGGCTTCATCAGCAGGTAGGATATGCGAACCAGTCCGAGCCTCACTTTAGTAGATTGCAGTTAATGATTGACCGCGTACCATTTAATCTGGTAGGACTTTTGTGGTTTGCTGTCGTGATGTTTGCATACTCAGTCAGAAGCGCCGATGAGGTTACAAGGTGATCCGTTCAGCAGGATCCGCCATGTTGTCTCCAGCAGGCCGTGATGTTTGCAGTTCTCTTCTCGGCTTGTTGGCATTATGATCGAGTTTACACCAAATGTGCTTTCTGCCTCGCTGTAGCGAGGAGTTTCCGTGCTGAAGTCCCCGCCTTCTAGCAAATTTGCTGAACCGTGGATTATCTCCGTGCAGGCTGGTTTGACGCTGCTCGAGTCACAACAACTGACCTCACAAGAGGAACGAGTGCACAGTGCTTGCCGAGCCCTCAAGCAGCAGATTGACACCTTCTCACCAACAGGGAAGACTCTCTTTAGTCGCCTAGATGACCTCATCGACAAGCTGAAAGCTGCGAAGGACGCTGCACGTCAGGAGATCGGCGAGTACCACAAAATGGTAGTTCAGTTGCTAGACAATCGAGGTGTGCATGTGCAAATGTACTAATGTCAGGCGGGTCGGCTTTGTAACATAAGGGTGAGGTCAAGGGTTCAGCATATATCGGATTTATTAGTGGTCGCTCTGCCAGAGCACAAGGGTCTCGAGCGGAGTAGAGTCGAACATTTTAGTCGGGTGTCCTTACGATTACTGATCATTGTTCTAGTTAAGCTCTCTGCCCAACAAATCTGCCTCCACAATCTTGCTATGAAATGGTGCAATGTCCCAACTCCATTCAAAACTTTCTGTGCAAAGCTAGTTGCAAAATTGCATAGCATGCCGTCACTTCACATGTAGCGATCTGCATTAAGTAAAATGCAGAGCAGATTTTCAGTTTTAATTCAGCGGTGAAGCATTGCTCATTCAGCGCGCTAAACCAGCGGCCTCTTGTACTCAAAGTTAAATGCAGTGTTATGACTCGGCTTAGGTTACTTGGCATGCCAGCTACGATCGCCTTCCACATGTGCAGTCCGTTGCTGAATCATCACTGCATGACAGTACGTGACGGTATACGGCTCTAGTATGTAAATCAATAAGGATAGCTAGGTAGCTGCGCCAATATCGCTATAGCTGTCTGGCCGGCCCGCGTTCAGTCGCGTCTGTCCGATCGACCATGATTCAACTCACCGCCGAGCTCCACCATAGTGAACTTCAATCAGAGTTGTCGGATGATGGTCTCTTCCCATTGCTCAAGTTGCAAGGCAGGCGCTCAAGTTTGAATTATTGGATGATGACGTTCTCTTTCAAACGCCGTAGTCACCTGGACTTTATCAGCTTTCATGGCATACATATGGATCCATGTTTTGAGTTTCGAACGCCTATCACGCCTAGCTACCCTACCGAGATTAAGTGTGCTACTTTAGTCCAAACCTAGCGAGTCAATTAGCTTTCACATCCGAGCATTTGGGCAAGTGCGTTTGTGCTAGTACTAAAGCAGCGGTGCTGGATGTCAAGTTGCAAATACTACTTTCTGACTGTTCGAATACAAAGGGTTGACGAGCCCAAGACTTTGGGTGCGGCGGGGGCATGAGGTCTAAGTGACGGACCCGATTGAGGGGCGTCTTCGTTCTTCTTGATGGCCAAGTCTGTCGACGTTAAAAGCTTTTATGCCCCGCAATCCGGTCCTGGATAGCCGGGAGCGACATCCCTAATTCGATCTCAATGGAGGGGTCGCTTGGCAACCGGTACGGGCTCTTAACCACAACCCCGTCCTCAATATAGGCATATGTCACCTTCCCCCAATCCAAGAAGAGACACAAGGCAGCCCGCACGTTGACCTCCGGAATCAGCGCCTGGTTGACGAGCACGAGAGGCCCGTCGAGACCGTGACAAGACGTGGCGGCAAACCTGTTGTAGAGGTTTCGGAGGCTGTCAGTGATGTCCTGCGGGCGCAAGGACACCTGCGCAGCCACGTCTTTGACTCTCTTCTGCAACCCCAACGAATCCTTCTTGTCTTCAAGGAGTGCGTTGATGACCGCACGCGGATCTTCTCTTACCCTTCCGGGGCGCGCTTCCTCCCTGCGTGCATTGGATGACTTCGACAATGACTTCGAGTGCGGTTCTTCTGTTTTTATGTCCTTCTTCCCGCTGCGGTCCAAGAGGGCGTTCGTCAAGCTCCGGAGCTTCAGCTCAGAGATGACGCTCTCCGTTCCCAGCTTCGCGATGTCCCGCTCCACCTTGAGCAGGGACTCGTGCAGCTCTGCATTCTTCTGTACTTGCGTGGTCAGGGCACTACTCAACGCCTCAATAGCCCTGTAGTATCCACCGCCCGCACGCCCACCCCGGCCGCTCTTCTTGGCATAGATTTTTGGCAGCTGACTCTTTCGAATACACCCGGGTCAACAAGTTTTGTAACCAAACCCGGATGACGTGGCAACTCCG